TACCTGTTCAGGTACTCTGTTCACTACCTGTTCAGGTACTCTGTACTCTACCTGCTCAGGTACTCTGTGACATGTGTCTCTAAAAATGACTCCAGGGAAATGATGTTCATGTTAGTTTATAGATTAGACATCTCATTTTGGAGGCAAAACAATATTTAGTTCTCATTTTACAGCATAAACTCATCATCCAGCACCTGTTTGTGTAAAAAGAACAGGTACCTTATTGACTTGTCTTCTAATAGTCAGGAACACTAGATATCTGACACCACCTCTCTCCTACTGACTCCACCCTGGGAGGTTTAAAAGGCCACGAGACACCTGAGACGCCTCACTGCGGTCCGACATCTCAGACTGACCTGGTTCACTTCATCACTGACTCACTGCTCTCCGCTCAGCCTCTTTTTCATCTTCTTATTAACCTGCATTTTATCGTAAACATCTTTTCGCTCTTGTTTCTCCAGCGTTTTCTTCTTTCAACTCTGAGTTTCCCGATTTTTCTACCACCTGCTTCTCTGCTTCCATACCTCCATCTGTCCTGTCTCTCCTCCACCATGAGCCTGAGTCGTACCAAGCGGATCAGCTCCAGTAAATCGGTCCGGAGCAGCAGCGCTGGGTCCAGGAGGCTGAGCGGCTTCGGTCCCGGTCAGGGGGCCTTCGGCGGCCTCTCTCTGAGCAGCAGCTCTCTGTACGCCGGCACCAACGGGCCCCACCACGGCCTGGGGGCCCCTCTGGCCTCCCTGTCCGTCAACAGGAGCCTGCTGGCCCCCCTCAACCTGGAGATCGACCCCAGTCTGTCCATGAGCCGGGCCCACGAGAAGGAGCAGATCAAGAGCCTCAACAACCGCTTCGCCACCTTCATAGACAAGGTAGAGACTCAGGAAACCAGACAGCGCTACGTGGTACACTGTACACAAATGTGTTTATTTATTATACGAAATATATTTAAACTAATAAACAATGATGTGTTATTACAGATTAAACTATATATATATATTAAAATGAGCTCCACCTTGGAAGAGATGAACACATTAATGCAATTATTAGGACGTAAATATTATTCTGCATATTGAGTACTTTTACTCTGGTACTTTAAGTACATTTTAATGCTGATACTTTTGTGCGTTTTGTGCATTAACTGGTAACAGAGTATTTCTACCCTGTGGTATTTGTACTTCTTCCAGCTCTGCAGAAAATTGATCAGCAAATATTTCCAAGTTATTATTAAATAACTAACTTCATTTTTAAAGCACAAAACAAACACAAACTCTCTGATTCCAGCCTCTACAATTTGAGGATTTGCTGCTTTTCTTTGTTGTATTGTCCATTAAATGCATCACATTGGGCTTATTCATATTTTCCACTATTTTCTGACGTTGTATAAACCAGATAATGAATTCATGTTTTATCGTATATATATATATATATGTA